GCATCCGGGTCGCCGCCGTGCCCATTGTCTGGGGAAGGGGCCCGGCGGCTCCGCGGCGCTGCACCCGAGGGCCCCCGCCCGTCCGCCCGCTCTCCGCTCACCCGCGCAGGCTTTAGTAAGTGATCCTCGGCGGCCCTTCCCGCCCCTCTCCCGGGGAGATGCCGTGATGCCCCGCCGAGCCTCCCCTCACCCGGGGTGGGTGGGCGCAGCGCCGTCCCTCAGGCGGTCCCGCCTGCCCTTTCCCCGTTGCTTCTGGCGCTCCGTCTGGAGGTGGTGGTGGGCTCGGGGGCCTCAGGCGACCCGCAGCGTCCGCCCGCGGGTCCTGCCGGTGCCCGGGGGTTCCTGCCGGTGCCCGGGGTGCCGCGTTGTGTGGCGGTGCCCGGAGGGAGCCCCGGGCGGGCGGAGAGGGGTGAGCCCTGCCCGCTGTTGCTGCTGCCCCCTCTCCCCTCGGGGAGCCGGTGTCTCCGGGACCCCGGTGCGGCGCGGCGGAGGCAGCCCCAGCCTCTCACGGCCGTTCTGCCTTTCCTCCTAATTTAAATGTCCTTAAGGATGCTGAATTCTCATTGTGCCACCCGGTAACGACACTAACGACACTCTGCTTTTTTTTTTTTCCCCTGCAGTGGACCGCAGCTCGAAGAGGAGACAAGTGAAGCCTTTGGCAGCTTCGCTGCTGGAAGCTTTAGATTATGATAGCTCTGATGACAGTGATTTTAAAGTTGGAGATGCTTCAGGTAAATATGCTTCCTCATCTCCTCCCTTCCCGAATTATCTCATTTTTATTTTTATGGTTGCTCATTTAATACGAGGGAGACAGGATGGTATTAGTGAACTGTTGGGACTTGGAGCCACTTGAAGTTCAGTGGCTTTATTGGGTAACTTGAAATTCTTATGCTCTGGAAAAGAAAGAACTGATTAAACAAAACATCCATACAATACTTCAGTTACAATGAATTTTTTCTCGACAGAAAATTCCTGATTATCAAACAAGGTCTAGCAGAAGCATTTGAGTAGCTTCTGTGCTGATGGCTTTAGCTGTATCTATTGCTTTTTATTTCTTGGGTGTAGAGATATTTTTTGAAGTATTCACTGCATTTAGTATTGAAATAAGAATCAGTCTGGGTAATAGTTTTATGCGGACTTAAGAACTTGCCTGTTTCTCAAGGTTAATTCCACTTGGTGAGTGAAAAACTTAAGCAGAAAGATAATATGTTCAGGTTTTTATTGTTTTTTACTATAGAAAAATGTAAGGTGTCCATTCAGATAGCTACGCAGAAAGGTGTATGCATTTCATATTAGAAGGAAGTCCTTGCTTCAGGCTGGTTTTGTTCTGCAGTCTCTTTGGGTGCAGATTCCTGTATCTGCAGTGAACATCCACAGAAACTGAAAGTAAACAAGATGCCAAAATAAAATGAATAAATTCAAATATATTGGAGGGAGGGAAAAGAAGGGGCAGGACCATGTTTGTGAATAAACTGCACATTGGATGTTCTGTAGCCTGTGCTGAAGGAAATAAGCGAAGAGATGGGGGATGTGTAAGATGTAAGGGAAGCATTATGGCAGTCAAATAACTTCACTTTGTTATTTCTCTACTGGGGATGCTGGTCTATGTTTTCATGTGAATATGTATCTTGCAAAAATATTCCCATTTAAAGGCTTATTCTTTATCATCTGGCAAGCTCATCCTTATTAATGAACTTAAAAATGCTTAATAATTGTTTCTCCAGTGCCAGTTTTAAGGTATGCCCTAATGCTCCTTGTTGTATTTTTTTCCCCAAGCTTAGATATATTTCCCTTGGTTGGTTTGGTGGAAACAGGCTGCAGTGATTTAAGGGAGTAAAGCTGATGTTCTCTTACTAAATTCATGCTAAGATTTTTGGGGGCTTGTTTTATTTACTTTTTTTTTAATCTTACTTTGGGGGATTTTTGATCCTTTCTTTTGTGTAACGGCATTGCCTTTTGTAGAGACAATTGGCCATAAAAGGAAATGATTTTTAGTTGCCCCCCCAAATCTCCCTATTTTGGAATGGTAGCGTAGGCAGGATTTAAGGAAAAAAGAGAATTGGAAATGGAGTATGGGAGATGGACACATAATTAAGAGCAATATATTATTTGATTAAAAGACAATCATTAGTTAATTAAAAATAATGAATAAAGTGTCCTGACTCAACTGTGTCTAAATGCAGAGGATTAATTTGTAACTGATATCCTCCTTGACTTTTAGGGTTGTCTTATGCATACATGGTGGGGGGGTCAGTGTCCACCTTGGGGGTGTTTCAATCACAGTTTCATTTTGAGGAGGTTGGACGGGTTTTCCCTTAAAAAAAAAGCAACACTAAACTGAAACAAACATGAGAGAAAAACCCAAGTTCTACTTCAAAAATGTTTTTCTAATTACTGTGTTGTGTTCGTATATTTCATATAACTTTAACATCTCAGAACCTGTATCTATCACTTTAAGTAGAAATGAATGTTCTGTTTAATGAAATTTATGATTTAGTCAAAACACTTTTAAACAGCAGCAGAGTTGGACATTTTACACTTTATTCCAAGGCTTTCAATGTGAAAGGAGAAAGTTGTGAGGGTTTGGAGAAGTTGGGGAATAGAAAGTTATTGAACATACACCCTCTTAAGCTGAAAGAGAAAAGAAGCATTTCTTATATGTAATGAAGTTCAATCAATAGTTGCAGGGTATTTGGAACAGAACATTAGTGCCGATTTAAAATGAAGATGGTATAACATAGTCTTAATTTTGATTGTACCTATTCCATTTAGATTCAGATGGAAGAAGTGTTGAAATAAAGGGACCTTTTTTACACACACACGTATCTATAACTAAAACTGATAATTTAAGAGTTAAATATACAGAACACGTGTGTACACACACAAGTAGCCCTACTAGACGAATTCTGGATTGTTGCTAATAGGAAACAGGTTTTCCTGTTGCTTTCACTGTGGATTCAGCTTTCTCCAGTGCAGTTTGGGCTGTTGCTCTTTTTTCTTCTTTCAATGACCACAGAGGTCTTTCCATGTGCAGCCTGTTGCAAATCAGTATTTGGTATTTGTTTGAATTCAGAATCTCATTGCGTAGCGTGCTTACAAAGGGAAATAAATGTGACAGGAGGAAGAAACAATCTTTCTACGTTGAAAATGACCATAAATTCTACTCACACACTCAGGAGAATCCCGTAAGTATGGTAATTCCACAGCTCTACCATGTATGTTTATTTGAGTCACAAATGCATCTATAGGTGTTTAAAAAAAAAAACCAGATTGAAAGTTAAAAAAGTTAGTTAAAGGACTATTGAAATAGTGACTTAAAAAAATTCCAAAATTGTTTATTCCCTGGTGATTACATTACATCCATATGTGTGAGCTTTGGGATGTTAAGAGCCATGTGCTAGTAGATGATATTGTCCAAGTCTGGGAGGACTGAGCCCTCAATATTTAAGCTTTTATACATGCTCATTGTTTTATCAAATTTCTGGGGATATGAGATACAGTAAGGATCTGAGAAGTTGCTATTAAGTACTTTTAGGAAGGAATCAGCATTTCTGAATTTTTGTATTCAGAGTCCTGATGCCTCGGTAGTTTTTTTTTCATTACAGAAAATATTTCTGATCACTTAAACTCCATTTCCACCAAAAAAAAAAATAACCCATAGAAGATATGGCCTTTACTTACAGCCTAGTTAATTTCTTTTCTTTTGGATTTAAGTCACATCAACAGGCAATTGCTGCCTTTTCCCGTTTAAAGATCTCATCATTCTGACATCTCTTTAGGGAAACTGACTCTAGAAGTTTTCAGGCCTGTGGGCTTTTCATTATGTTACTGTTGAACAAAATAAATTTATAATGGCTTCTCTTTTTCTACGTAATAGAAAGTAGTAATGCCATATTTTAAAGTACTGCATTTTTCTGTTTTTTTATCAACATCTTAAAAAATTTGTTCCTTAGTAAGAATGTCATATTTAATCTTAATGTGGGACCAATAAAAAAACCTGACCCTTTGGAGTCAGAGCTTACAAATATGTGACTTGAAAAAATGGTACTGTAATATACTCAACTGAAGTTTTTAAATAAGTTTCACAATACGGATCAGTTATTTGAAGTTTTGCTTTTAAGTTAACTGGAGTATACTTTGGTTTTATGGTTGGGGGTTTTTTTTATTATTACTATTTTTAATATTTTTTTAATTTAATGAGAGCACCTGGAGATACACAGAAATCAGAAATCAGTGTACAGCTGTAGAGTAATTCCCAGCAGGACTCCAAAGCAACAATCAACTACTTTTTCTCCTCTCTCATAGGTGAAGTTGGTCAGTTTTGGCAGCTCACATACTGAATTTTAGATGATGCAGAGAAATGTAGTGTGGTCCCCGAGCAAGACTGATGTGTGGATTTGAGGACTGGCTCTGTCTCTGTAGCTATGAAAAGCGTAGCTGAATGCTGCATTGAAGAACTTGGTTCTGTCACTACTTTTGCTGCAAGTCTCCTAGACTCGAATTTTTAGAAATATTTGTAAAAGTTTATTTTCTTGGTGTTGAGCGTGGAGCCTGACTTGCATAAATATTGTATAGTATTATTGCAGTTGAGGTCAGTAGGAGCTCTGTTTAAAACATGTAAAGCTCTATAGAAATGTATGTGTTGGGTATTCTGAAATACCTCTGCCTTTGATCTAGAAATAAAAAGTTGCAAATATTTTACATCTTTCTGCAATTTGCTTCCTCTTAGCACAATGGAGAATCCACTTTTGCTTTCCTCTGCAGGACACAGTAATATAAAAAACGCTTGCGAAGCTTCAGAATGCTGTAGTGATAAACACTACTGAAATATTGATGAAGTAACTAAATATTTTTATTTGTTTTGCCCCTACTGTGACTCTTTGTGCCTTGTCTTTCCACCCTGTCTGTCCCTTATGGAACCTTTCCTCCTTACTTCACTCTTCTTCTGCTTGTGCAGTCAGTCTTGAACAGGATTTTCATGGCCTCCTACTTTACTTTCTTTTGCATCTCCTCTTTTTTTTTGTGTGTGTGTGTGTCTATGTCCATCTCGTATGTTTCCTGCCACGTGGAGAAGATTCTTTTGCACTTTATTAATTCCAGCTGGGTAGGATGGTCTGTTGGGAGCCTGGCTGCCTCTGAGAGTCTAGCAATGCTCACTGAGGATGGGATGTTTCCAGTGTTTCTTGGGCATGTACTTGTTATAAATTAACCTCAGATACTTAGCAGGTCCCAGACACATGTTCAGCTGTCTCCCAGATGTGCTTGCATCTTGTACTTGCTTGTACAAGATGCGAAACTCGAACATGTTTTTGGGAAAAAATATGTATTCTAGCTCACTATTCAATAACGCACTGGAATATAATTTTAAGGATTATTTAGGACTGCAACTTTGCTGAGGGAAGTCACGGGGCATGCAGTACTTCATCCCAAATAAAGTATGATAATGTTGAGGGCAATATCTGAAACTGGGAAGCATCAAGCAAATTCAGGAGATAACCAGTTCCATCTGTGTTAGAACATTGTAAATAAGGTAGTTCCCAAGGACAAGTCAAACTTGGCAGCCTTTAGTTTTGACTGCTTTTATGACTTGAATCTGCTGAAATGCTGTGTGGTAGAGTTACTGCTAGCGTAGAAGTGGGGAAACTAAACAACTTATATTTATATGTTCCTTTTCAATCCTTTTTTTTTCTATTAAACTAAATACTTCTGAAAGAAGTGTACATGGATTGCTTTTTTTTCCTATTTAAATACTTCTGAAAGAAGTGTACATGGATTGACGATCAGATAAATCAGTTCAGTTTCCTACTCTGCCTAGTCTACATGTGCAGTTAGTACAGAGTTTAGATACTTTTTTCCAAAAAAAAAAAAGAGGAGTGAATTTCTCCCCTTAGAGCAGCAATACCTTAATCTATATTGCTTTCGATTTTTATATTCTTAATTAGGTTACTTTGGGCAGGTCCATTTTTCACCTGCAGGCATTACCAACAGTGAATTGCAGGTAGCTTACCACTGTTTAATCATCACACTCAACAGCACAGAAGGCCAGTGGCATGTATCTAGCTGATGATAGAGTCTCTTTTTTGAAGTTATGTTGAAAAGAACAGCATTAAGCCTTTTCAGTCCTTGCTTTCAGTATGGTTGTATCGGTCTTGGCACAATGGACCTCTGTGGTTTTAGTCTAATAGAGAAATGGGATCAGGAATTTACCAGTTACGCAGCTCTGCCTTTGGCAATTTAAACGTTCATATTTTCCACATATGATCCAAGTTCTCCTGCCTTATTTTTTTTTTTTACATCCAATTATTAATATCAGAACTTTTGAGTTAGTTTAAGCATCTCCTCAAGGTATTTTGGAGTCTTTAAAATTATTTGCAATTTCCAGGTCAGGTGTTTAGAAAGTACAGCTGCTTTTCCACGTGTTAAGTGCAGCACATGTGGAAAGGAGTTTGTGTGACTCTGGAGCTGCTCTTCTAAGGAAGTTTCTGGGCAGAGGCTGTTGTCAGCAGATGCTTTTTGCAGTGTTGTCCCCTTTCCCCATCTGTCAGGATGGAGGCAACTTGTGTGAGGGATTGTACGTGGTGTGTGACAGGGTGTTTTAGCGCAGATACATGGGTGATTTCACCTCATTGTATCAAAGATTATTCTTTGTGAGAGGGAGACAGAGGCTAAGGCACCACTAGACAGGGTGGTGGGGATCAGGTGCCTTTTATTTCCAATTATCCTCACCTGGGCTTTGTTACCGCCCTCAAAAAGAAGGGTATTGTGAAGCAGACTGTGGGCTGGATGACTTCTCCCATGATGCCTATATTATTGAAATATATTATTCAGTAGGAATAACTTCAGACACGGTAGTTTTCCAGGTTTTTTCCATTCTTTTCAGTGTTCCAGGATCCTGGGTTGTATTCTCTCTATGTAGCTTCGAGCACCTGGATAAGTCTGAACCAGACAGGACTCAGTCCAAAAAAAAAAAATAACTTTCAGAAACGATGCCAGATGCATCTCTGCTGCTGCCTGGAGTTGGTTAGGCTTTGTTAGTGGAAGAGGAAAGCCCCAAATTGAATCTGTGATTTCCTTTAACTAGCTTATCCTTCAGACTTCACTTAAAAACAAGCAATAAAGCTGCTTTTTACAGAGCTGCTTTTCAAGCTAAATATTGCATTGAGGAATCAGCCTGTCTCCTGTGAGCGAGTGGCCGTGTACTTATGTAGTATAGCCCTTACTACTTATGTAGTATAGCACTACTCTCTGTATACGTGGATTTTCTTAGAATGTTAAAAAAAAAAAAAAAGTCACAGGGTACCAATTTTAAAGTTGCTGGCAAAAACGGTCCTGCGAAGCCCTGGGAGGATTTTTTTTAACTGCTGTAGTGATTTCAGTTGCTTTCCCCCTGTGTCTTGTGCATAGTACATATTATATGAGACTCCACAACTGACGTGGAGATTAATAGTAACTTTTTGAAATTTTTATTGCGCTTTTTCTGATGTTAATTCTGGAGCGTCATGTTCTGTCCTGGAGAATTCTGCTCAGAATTTACCCTCTTTAGATTTGAGTGCCACCTGCTGTTGTGCTCAGCAGAGCTAAAGATACAAAGTGTATGGAAATAAATGACTGTTCTCTCTCATATTTGTTCTCAGTGGAACTCTGTGTTCTTCACTATTTGACAGTGTATCTGGCCCCATCTTTCACTTGAGAGTAACTTGACTTTTCTCCCATAGGGAATGACACGATGCGGTTGCCAGTTTGAGAGAGCCATTCTTTAAGAATTTCTTTCAAGGAGAAAATTGTATACTACAGCCTCTTCCTAACTGGAAGTGCATCTGACAGAAGCACACCTGCAAAAATAGCTGTTATTGCAGAATAGCTCGTTCAAGAAAAGTACCTATCAGGGTGGATGCATTCAGAGAGAAGAGGGATATCCCTTTCTAGGGGTATTTCTGGTGTGTACGTGCAATGCAGAAAGGAGAGCACGAAGCATAATGCACAGGCAGAAGGCAAAGAGAATTTGAAGGGGACAAGTGAATGAAACAAACATTTATTTTTTCCTCTGCTTTATATTGATTGCATTTCATAAAGCTGCTAGAGAGTTTCCTCGGTTTTGCAGTATTAATACACAAGAATCACTCTGATTTAGGGTGCTGTTAAAGACCAAACTATACCAAGACTAAGATCCCCCCCAAAAAATAAAGTGGAATCTTAAATTAATGAGAAGTTCAAGAATATTTAGAAATGGAGCAGCACAATTAAAGCATCCAAGCAGATTACTGCCATGCAGTTATGGTGGGAAAGTAAAAAAAAAAAATAAAAAAATAAAAATAAAAAAAAATACTATAAGGTAACTTAAAAATCCAGGCTTGGCAAATGTCATGAAGTGGTTTGGGTTGCAAGGGACCTTCAAAGATCATGAACTCAATGGTCCCTTCCAGTTCTAACCATTCTATGATTCTATAATCATCCAGTTCCACCCCCTGCCCTGGGCAGGGACACCTCCCACCAGACCAGGTTGCTCCAAGCCCCATCCAGCCTGCCCTTGAACCCCTCCAGGGATGGGGCAGCCACAGCTTCTCTGGGCAACCTGGGCCAGGCTCTCACCACCCACATTGTAAAGTTTTTTCCTTATGTCCAGGCTAAACCCTGCCTTTTTCCAGTTTCAAACCTGTCCCCCTTTTCCTGTCACTACAGGCCTTGGTAAAAAGTCTCTCTTTCTTATAAGCCTCCTTTATATATTGAAAGGCCCCACTAAGGTCTCCCTGGAGCCTTCTCTTCTCCAGACTGAACAAACCCAAGTCTCAGTCTGTCTTTAGTATTTCATGGACCTTCTCTAACAGGCCCACGAATATGTATCCAAACAAAGCTATTGTAATTTAAGCATAATTTTTTAGATTGCATATTAGTTGATACAGTTTTTTTATCTCTTAGACATGCCTGGAGAGCATCTGATATTTCAGAACTTCAGTTAATTATGTTGTACTTCCATTACTGCAATTAAGACTGGTAGGTGGAGGGAGATGACTGAATTACTCTTTTTCTCAAAAGACTGTCCAATAACTTGTGTTCCTGCAGTTTGCATACTGTTTACGTGGCTTTTTGTAGAGATGGATATGCACAGAAATTCTCTGTATAAGGTGATACTGAGTGGTGGATTTTTTGTGTGTGATGAGGAAAATGATAAAGGATTTTTTTAATTTGCAAGCATCAACATGTCTCTTGCATGGATGTGACAGTTCATCAGGAGCTTGGTGATGGCTCTGAACAAACTGGAAACTGTAGCCATTGCCCAATTGTTAGCTGCCTTGGATCAAGCAACTTTGTATTTTCTTGTTAATTTAAAAAAAAAAAAAAAGCCTCTGAGTTTTTATTCATTAAAACTAATACTTTTAATGAAAAGTAGTAAGTGAATATAAGATGAGAGATAGTCAAGGTGGATGATGTTTCTAAAATTTAACATGTTCACTTGTCATCTTTTTCAATAATTTTTACATGTACTTTATAGTACAGATGACTTATTTTTGTGAATTTTTTTTCACACAAATCCTCTTCTGTTCCTTTCTATTGCACAGCTTGGCCTGTGTTAATTAATAGAAATAGTGACTACACACAGAACAATTCCATATGAGTGGCATAAGGTTAGAAATTATGGATTGTTGTGCAGCTGCAACACTGAATGAGGCATAGCTGATATGGGATTAATAAATGAAATAACA